AGATAGGTAGATTAATGAAATTATTAGATGTTGTCGGTTTTGCTTCGATTATAAACTTGGTGAAACTATTTTAGAAAAACTTATGTGACTGAAGTTGGAGATTGATTTTTATGTGAATGCGATCGTATGATTATTAGGAATAATTACTGATCGTGAATCGATCGCACGACTTTATTAGCACTTAACTCTTCGATGTGTATTGCCTATGAGTCAGAACGTGAGTTCATGTATTGAATGAGAATATTGGTAAGGATCTTGTGGAGGTGATGTGGTCAACATCTGAAGTTAGAGAGTGATGAGTAATTAACCGAATTTTCGGAGATTTATTACATCGGATTGAAAGATGAACTGATGGAAAGAAGCGTTGAAAGGATAATTTCATTGCAACGCTTCAAAAGAAGAACGAACGAGCGCGACTCGCAAAACGGAGATTGGACCGCGTCGATGTGAAAAATGAAACATCTGGTAGGGAATGAATGCAAGTTATGCATATGGATGAATGTTTCATTGGGATATGAATGTGAATACGTATTTGATATAAAAATTTATGTGATGAATTTGTCTATTACGAATGGATGCATGCATACACATTCAATCTGTACCGAAAAGAAAACAGATGATTGTGAACTTAATGATGAATTACCATCCAATTTTGATCATTTGTAATCCAGTTTGACACTGTGTTATTGCCTAACGTGCTTTATTAAAGCATTCCTCATAAATGATTTTCGAAGCTAATTTAGTCTCATCAAATGCAATAAATACATTTATGGAATATTCAAGATGTTTGGTATATCACATGCTCGATGACACTTTGAACAGATTAGAAAATATTCAGGTTAAAGTTTCAGTTATAATCATAAGCGGGATTGGAGTGTGAATTGTGATTTCAGGACTAGTTCGATGCAAGTGATGGATGTTTTGTGGAGGATATGATAAAGTAGATTTGATGTTATTAAATGCGTAGTAGATTGATTTGTTGGTTTGTTGGTTCGAGTTGGTAACGGGTACGAGCGATGTTGTTGATCGGTGGTGGTGTGTTTATGGAAAAGTGATGACGAAAACGGGGTATTCGGTTCATTTTAAGAACAACATTCGCGTATAATAACAAGCGAATATTATTAGGACAACAACAATAAGAGTTGATACTACCAGGCACTGACAAGAATGACCAAATGACCATCAGTTCGTGTTGTTCGCGTGCTCTAGTTCTTTATGCTAATGCTACACATTCTCTCTGCAACAGTGTTCATCTGATCACTGACCACTGACCATCCTTCACCCCTTTCAGGCATCTTTCTTCATCTTCTGTCGTTCTCTTCAGCGCTCCTTCTCTTTCGGACGGCTGGTCAAAAATCAATGCTGTCATGAGATGAACTGCTGAACGGGCATCGCCCACTCAGTAATACACAGCAACGATTGCTCTATCAAGAACAACATAAATAATGTTGGCAACAATAATGATAGCTACAATAATGATAACAATAATAATGGTAATAATGATAATAACTATAATAATAATAACTATAATAGTAATAATAATAATAATAATATTGATAATAATAATAACAATATTGATAATAATAATATTGATAATAATAACACTGATAATAATATTGATAATAATAATAATAATAACAATAATAATAATAATAATAATATTGATAATACTAACAATCAGTTTCTTGACTATTCTCCGCCTCATTTGAATAATTGATTGCCATTCTCTGCAATTGAAAAGATACATAAATTCTTACTCGTCTTCATTCGCGTATCCTTAAACATCTTTTTCTTTCATTCTTCAGTTAAGAAACATTCTTGATTCAAAATTAATCACCGCACAAACCACCATGATGCAGGCAATAATACAGAAGAAAGGGTATTAATCAGAGATGAAAACATCAGAGAAGTATAATTACGATTGACCATTAATAGATGTGAACAACTGCTGAGAACTCGGCGAGTTCGAACCAAGTGCAAAATGTCACAAAACGTTCGATAATAATAACATAATAATAATAACATTTTGGTGTTGTTCGGTTCGCAAGAGGAGAGGATCCAGCAAAGAGGGATTGACATAATAGTCTGATTGACCATGCCACTCATATTCTCTTCATTATTTTCATTTCATTCAGCTTCATGCTGACTTGATTTCAAATCATTATGATTATGTAATGTCGATTTTTTCTCCCCTATGCAACTTCAATTCACATCTCATGCATAACCACTCAATGCTATTTCCAATCGGAGCACGTCCCCAACTACAAGAAAACTGCATTTGTTTCAGACGGATAATGTTCAGTTTCGCAGATATAACTAGATTTTAGCTTCAGAAATATAAAGCATTTGAGCACGCAGTTGAGCGATTTTACCACAACGGCAAATTCAAACATTCGATTCTAAGTAGATAAGTAATACTTAACTGGGAAAATAGAGATTCATTTTCATGTTCAGTTAGTGCGAAAAACTTTCAGGTTAACTCAGAACCATAATAATTTCTACAGACCGTATAGAACAGATTCTCCAATATTAGAAACGTGTACATGTTGCCGAAAGATATTATTTAGTTCCAGAGATATGACAAGTTTTCTAATAGTATGTCGGATAGCTGAGTGATTCCACCATTCCATCAAATTCTGTACATTTGATTTCTGTATTGATCAATAACACTCAACTCTAGGAGGACAGGAGCTTTATTCTCCGCCTGATCATTTATTTATTTCTCTGCAGTAACATGCAAAATTTTGGTATTCTGATAGAGCGGTTCGCGAGCTACAAAAAAGTCGATAAAGGTATCTCCTCACCAAATAAAAGTGGGGAAACTTACATAATATATATGAGACATCCACAGGCTCATACCTTGTTACTAATCGTAAGGCTAGGAGGGGAAGAATTTTCAGATGGAGGATCCATCATGTGAGCGAGGCCTGAGATAGTGGAGGATCCCGCAAAACGAGGCAATAGCCTTGTGTTTAAATTGTTAGCAGACTCTGGACTCTCGAATTCTGCTCGGCTGCCGTAGATCGGCTCCATTGCAGTGCACTAGAGTCTATTTATTCGCATTGTTTTAGCTACAGAAGACGCTACCCCACGGGTTAGGCGGGTAGGCCTAGTTTAGTTTGGCTGATTTTCAACCTCTAGCATGTGATTTGCCTAGGCGAATCGATCGCGCTGTAGGGTTGCGAGTTCGATACTTTCGTAGCTTGGTTAATCAGCCAGAGCTTTTGCTCTGCTATCATAGGTATGGAACGATCAGAGTCTTTACGAAGAGGCACTAAAGTATGTATGAAAATGATTCATTTGCGCTCAATCGAGCAGCTCAGCAGCACAACCTTGGAATAATTCAACTTCAACATTCTATTTCAATTCCTTTTCGAATGTGCAGCCATCCTTCGACATTTACCCATTCAGATAGTTTTAAACGAACTCATGTTCGATGACTGCATCACGAAATTACACCATATACTATCAGATTTCTCACAGGCAATTCACTTCGAGGATGAGAAGTATGCTTTGGGTGAAGATGAGAAGTGTGAATTTGCATCGCGAAATAACTGGTTGTAGCAGTCAACACTAGTTGAATGCATTCATTTATCCATCACCACTCGCAACATTTAATCAATCAGTCAATGCACGTATTATCAGTTATATTCTTTTCATTATCAAACCAACCTTTTAACTACCCAATGCTGTTTCATATCATTTCTTCATTTTCATTTGAGCCAGTACTTCAATCGATTTTAAGTGTACGAATAGAAAGCGCGTTTATGTAAAGCTGAACATTTATACGGTGAAGCACATCATTTATTCACGTGCAGTACAACATGCCGCTTCTCTTCCTGTTCGCTTTGTCAACGCTTACTGCCATTGATTGCTTTCAACAGAAGCTTTTTGTGTGTTTATCAATTATCAGTTATCAATTATCATCAGCTTTAAAATTGACCATCCATCTAGAGATAATGTAAAAGAATGACTGGATACAATAAATGCATCCTCTAATGCTGTGTTTGTAGCATCGCAATAAACGTTCAGCTTTGAGAGGTTATTACTTAAGAAATTGGGGTGATTGTGTATCATTTGAGTAGCTGAGTGATATGAGCTTTAAAGTGTTAGTAGATCTGTATGGATTGAATATAGACTTGAACAACAACAGCAACTCATCTTGTCCATAAATGTTGCTTTATGCTTAACATTATTAGTTGGTGAGATACGTTTATGTTCTTACATTAATCTAATGCTGATGTACTGATCCATGTGATCAATTCATCCAACAATAAATAGATATTTGCAATTCAACGGGTAAATTCTCAGTTCACCAACATACAACTCATTTACCGTTATTTACCCTCATCAATTGTCACAAGACAACTCCCTGTCATTTCTCTTTTGAAAATATTAATCCCATACAAAGCATCGCTACTCATCCGAGTTCAGAGATATGTCTCGGTCTCATGATCATGTCACAAACAAATCATTAGGTTAATATCAAAGAATTTTAATCATTCTAGCACGTTGTACATTTTCTTTTGAACTTAACAGCAATCAGACAGATGCAATATGTTTTTTTGAAATATCTAGATAAAAATTACTTAAAAAGATAGTTTGATCAAAGCTGAATAAACACTAGTTGCATTACTAGTGCTTGCATTATTTGTTACACTGATAGCTGAGGTGCTTACTGCGAGATATTCCATTACATTTCCCGTGACCCAAATCTCATTTCTGTTCACATTGATCAATAACAGTCACATGCTATTATACCATAGTTTTATCGAACTTGCTGTCGGTACGGTATCCTACTTGAAACGCATTGATAGTATTTGATGTGCTTTAATCATGCAGTAATGAGTGAATGATGGAATCTTGAATTTGAATCAGGACTGAACTGCGTTTTGATTTAGATACAATTTGAATGAATAGAGCAGAGGTTGGTAGGATGAGCATCGATAAGAATGGATTTGAGGATGGTTCAATGAAAGGGTATGTGCTGCTTTTGATCACTGCAGCCATCAATATCACATGATATAAATAAACATTTCAATTGCAGAGGCAAGCACAAAAACCAACTATTTCGAGATACAGCAGCGATACACTGGAAAGCAACGACCCTACTGATATGTTTATATGGTATCGTGAAGGAATTCCGACCAGCCACACCATTCCTAACACCTTATCTCGTATCATCGTTCAAGAATTTCACCGACACTGAACTATACAGTGAGATATATCCATTCTGGACGTATTCCTACTTGATTGCATTGGTGATTAAATATAATTTTGATCGTATCACACCTGAGTTCGCTAATGAACTCATCATCATCCATATTTGATACTAACATCATTCTTTTCTAATTCGGTTACAATATCAGTTTTTTCTAATTCGGTTACATTCCATTCGATAAAACGTTTGGAAATGATATGAAGTTATTTCTGTGTTCAGATACCAATATTCTTTTTGACCGATATTCTGCGGTACAAGACGATAATCGTGTTGGAAGCGGCATGTTTATGTGCAACTTGGGCACTGCTTGTTTGGGGAACGAACATTCGGCAGATGCAACTGATGCAAATTGTTTTTGGTGAGTTGATGCTTGGCTAAGTTGTTGCTGGATAGGAACGAACCAACTTACGAATATCTAGGTATTGCATCAGCAGCAGAAATAGCTTATTATTCATATATGTATGCAGTGGTCGATCAGAAGCACTACAAGAGAATCACTTCTTATATTCGATGTGCTGCACTAGTTGGGAAGTTCCTAGCTTTTGCACTTGCGCAACTGCTTATCTCCTTTCGATATGGCTCTTATCTACTGCTTAACCAGGTATGTATGCTCTTCGAAAATAGTTGCTGCTTAACCAAGTATGTATGCTCTTCAAAAATAGTTGCTGCTTAACCAGGTATGTATGCTTTTCGAAAATATTGCTCATTCAGTGAAGATTTAGAATGTATGCGTAATAAAATAACAGCTTCTTTTAGATTTCATTCGCATCAGTTTGCATAATTCTTATCATCGCTGTTATGTTGCCACCGGTATCTTCTAAAGTTATCGCGAATAAAGTGCAAACGGCTGATAATAGAAAGATGGAACGCAATGACTTACAGAAATCTGGAACTGAAGACAACGATGATCCAGTTGAATGGTAACTGTTTAGGTTACTTGAACGGCCATGCATTAGTCTCGAAATTTGGATCAATTCCCCCGTGCGGGCATGACCAGCTATCGAGGAACCTCCCTCCACGCGAGAGCCTCTGATCCCAGAAAATCCGCTGCACCTGTCCGGACCTCATAAATCGCAGATGAGAAAAGTAACAGTGAATCATCACATAACTGATTTATTTATCACGAAAGACATTGTAAATAAGTATTATAAGCAGTAATACCCAAATTACGAGGCCAAACAAAATTTTTAGTTTCATCAAAAATTATCACCGTAACGTTCAATAGCCGAAGCTACAATCTGTACGATAGGCATTCAACCTCTTCCGGCGAAAAATATGAATGCTTTATCACAGCGATATAAGGCTTATGGCATTAAATGTTCTAAAAACGTCAAAAAATTATATTCCGCAAAGTGCAAACAAAGAGTTGGAGGTTCCCATGGGGAATTCCATTCGAGGAATTCCCTTGGCGCAGGGAATTTGATTTGAGGAATCAGTTCCCGCCGGGGAGATGGTTCATCACAACTCGTCACGGGAGATCCCCGCGGAGAAAGGCCTACTCCAGAACACTACCATGCACCGATGATGGGAAGTGATAGTGATAAGAATCAGATGGAATGCAGTCAAAGTCTGAAATAGACAGAAAAAAACGTTGAGGTGAAATGATGCTATCGTTTACAGTGAAAAGAGTAGAGCGAATGTACTGGCTGTCGATAGTGATATTTTGGCTTACTTTGTGTCCATTTGGAATCATTTCCAAATATTCAGAACGAACAAGGTTGTTCTGAAATGGTCGTTGTGGTGGGCACTCACCAGTTGTGGTATTTATCAGGTAAGTATGTTCGTTGATAGATTGAGGCTCAAACTGATTGAGTCCAGCTACAGTATTTACCGTATCTGCAATCGAATCTCCTCATCTGATCGATTCATTCATTTAAGGTGTATAATTATGTGCAAACATTATGGGCAACAATGCAGAAGGATGGTGAAGACACCAAAAACGGTTTGACCGAATGCGTGAACACAATGATAGGTAAATGATAGGTGTTGATCGTTCAATTCGGTTGTTATTCTCCTCCTTGTTACTGATGTTATTCAGGAGCGTTGATAGCATTTCTGGTGCAGTACATGCACGTAAACTGGGTGAAGTGTGGAGAGGTGGCATTGTTTGTAACATCTTCGATCGCAGCACTGCTCGTATTCGCATTATCACAAACAACCGACATTTGGATCGCATATGTTCTTTACGTGACTCTTGCCGCTATTTATCACATGCTGATGACTGCGGCCAGGTAAATAATCTCTTCTAAATATACCCTTCGCTCCCCATCCAACTCACCGTCACAGAGGATCACTTTAAGAGTCGAACTCGATCAGTGGTTTCACTGAATAATAGTGAGTGATTGGTGATGTAGATGAAATAATAAATGCAATGACGCATAACGACTAGGGTTTGTAAAATCCCGACGATTTTTCAACCCCGGGATCGATTTTTGATCCCGGGATAATCTCGAGATCGAACAATTATTGAAATATCGATGCGGGACATGTTTAAACACATTTTTTCGAATCAATATGTTCATTATTAATCAGAAAGGAGCTAATTCAACAAATTATTGAACAAATCCAAGGAA